CTGTAGTCCGTAGGCTGTTGGTGGTCTTGCGACATTTTTTATTTAAGATTTCCTCCTCCATCTGTCAATTTCCCCATTATTATGCATTTCCTTGAGCATATTCTTCAGTGTAACGTTGATCTCAATTAGTATTTGATAAGTTTTACCGTCGCCTAGGATACATTCGATTTTTTCCGTTTGCTATTTTCTGCTCATTACACCCGTCGCTCCTCCCTTATCCGCCTGAAGAACTATTTGATCATTCTTTTTGTAATTTTCTACGTAGCTTCATCAATCTGCTCCTTTTCATTCGCTCTTGATGGTACAGAATTTTCGGGATTAATTGCATTTTCATCGCCGATTTGGTCTCTTGTGGGAATGTCTCTGAGATGTTGATAACTTCTGCAAGGATATCTTCTAAACTGTTTCTTTCAATACCGGTTGAAAAGGTTAACCCTTTCTTCAGAAGATACACCGTTTCAGAATCAAGAGTGAATGAGAACAGATTTACCACCTTAGCCCTATCGTCGGTTGTAGTAGTGTGATGCCTTCAATACAGAACCATCAACATTTGCTCTGGTTGGCTTGATCCTGCGTGGTCTTATGGTCATAAGTCTCAGCAATTTCTTGTCATGCCGCCTATTTGTCAAATCCCGAACACTCTGTGACTTCTGTCCAGCCATATTCTGGAGTTTTTGAAAATCATCCAAAGTGAGAACCTTGCCTACCTCCTTCGTTAATCTAGATTTTGTATCCATGGCCTTAACTAGCTTACGCCTCTCAGTCCCGTAACTTTCCTCCAATATACACATAATCATAGGAATTAAGTTTCGAGACTTTCAACGATGATTAAGGATTTCTATTTCTATTTTCCCACTATAATATGAGTAGACCTTAAGATTGCACTTGTCTGAAGCTTCTTCCTCGCCCAGGTTTCACCAGTACTCCAGGAAGCACATGAAACCGGATAATACAGCTTATGATGTCGAAATTATACGTTGCACTAACTCGCATTCGATTCCCGCTGAGGGTGCAGATGAGACCAGTTCAGTTGAGGTAGAGTCTGCAGTCAAGTCCAGCCTAAACAAGACTATCTTTTGGAGGCAAAGTGAGGTTGAATCAAATGGAAATTAAATTCCAACTCATCTGATTGTGGGGAGATTCAATTATCAATCGTCCATCACATAAAGTATAAATTAGCAGTAAGAATGATTCTCTGCTAAGATGCTGTCGTTCATGTTACACATGAAAGCTTTGCATGCTGACATGGGAATCGAAAGAACTCATCTTGGAGACATTGCCAATCAGAATGTTGCATTAAAAACAACCGACAGCTGGCTAGGGGAATCCGCCGTCATACTTTGATGGGGCCCACCTTCGAATCCCTTCATCACACACTTACATAGTAGGCTTAAAAACTAAAAGTGAGCTCAAAAGTTGTCAACTTTATTAGTTAGGCGACAATCCATGGTTTTGGAGCTACTTAATTAAAATGAGTAGACTGAACAATTTGAGGTAATATTAAATGTTTATCTTACTCGAGGCCCAACTTTTCCTAAGTGATCATTCATGAGACCGTGAGACTTATAACATTGATTGTGGGATAAATTCCACTATCAGTCCTTTAGATCCTTTCAAGCGGATCAGTATGCCACATTGTAGAATGAAGATCAAGACGGTTTGGCCTTAAGTTTGGCGGCAGACTGCTTTGGCTGGACTGAGGGGTACAGCAATTTTTCAATTGTCACTTGTCAGCCGATGCTAAGAATGGGGCCGCTCACTGACGATGCCGACTATAATGTCAGCGAAACGTCTGAGAATGTACCAAATCAACTGTCCAATGCTAGACATTATCATGAATCCTATGGCAGAGGTGGCAGGGTTGAGTATGTTCTACAAAGACTTGCCACCGCGTAGACCAATTTGCGAGAACGAATTTGTACCAACACTACATTGCAGGAGGAGACCGCGGCTAAACCTAAAGTCTTAGCATCTTTTAATTCATGTCAATGATCTAAATAAGCTAAAATGACATATTTTGCTCAACCATGCGGAGTATCGGTACTTAAACATTCCGGGATAATCGAAGGCATTTAGACAAATATGGTATGACTTCTTTTTCGGTCGGAGTTTCCTTTCGCTATATCAAAGTGGTTTGACTCGATTTTCACGACTTGCTCGCGCCGTTATAGCAATCGAGATGAGTACAGCTTTCCAGAATCGTCTGCCATAATCGGACTGTTGATAAAATGCGTCGTATTCGTCATCCTTTTTTTGACCAGTTACAACTTAGTGCCAAGACTGTTAAGACGCCTTAAAGCTGCCGACAAAATTTATGAGAATGTGCCAAATCCAACGTTCAATAATGAATAGGTGGGTCACACAAAATCTTCATGTCTCTCCAACCGATTTGCGAAAACGATGCGATTACACTTTTTAGTCGACACAACAAACATGTGATCTGTACTCACTTTTTGCTGTATTAAAGTAGAGTTTCGAGACCACCAGTAAATCAGGTAAATAAAATGATTTCACCTAATTTCGTTTAAGGTGGTGAAGGACTTGTGGAAGAAGAATTTTCCCACAATGATATGAGTAGAGCTCACGTTTCTAATGAATTTCACATGGCCTTGCCTTCGCAAAAGTTGTTCTCATCCCGGCTGGAGTGGACTGCAGTTTCGACATCGCATCGGTCTTATCAACACCCGCAGCGGGAGTCGAACCGGGAAATTGCAACATGTGAGCTTGACACGTTAATCACTCGGCCACATTGTCACGAGTGCCCTTGGATCACAGGGCAGATGTGAATTTTAAGGAAGGCCAGGCATTCCGCCATATCACATTCTTTGGTGGGATTGTCGATGAAGCAAACGTATATTTGCCATAAGAATAGAATACGTCAATTATTTTTCGATTTTAAGACTACCAGTTAATCAGTAATATGAGAGGTATTCACCCTATTTCGTTTAGGGTCACTGTTCGACTCCTGTTGGGATAGTTGCTATGACCGATGCGAGGTCGAAACTGCAGTCCACTGGTGCCTGGATGAGAACAACTTTTAGGAAAGTCAGACAACGTGAAATTCTATGGAACCGTCAGCTCTGCTCATAGCGTTGTGGGAAACTTCTACTAGCAGTTCTTCATCACCTTAAACGAAATTGAGTGAATGCATGTCATACTTTATTTCATTTAAGGTGGTGAATGACTGTTAATTGTATTTTTCCCATGTTTCATGTTTTCATTAAATTTAAGACATTTTTGCAGTCCATGAGAATACTTTTTCAGAGGCAAGGCAATGTGAAATTCAATGTACACATAAAGCCTACTCATAGGATTGTGTGAATATTTACCTAACAGTCTTTCATCAGCTTAAAATAAAAACTGACACAAAAATGAAAAATGGAATACATACATACGAAGAAAAGTTGGGTTTCGAGGAATCTCTTATTTCATAATTATTGGGCTTACTTTCATTTCGAGTAAAAGTGTTGCGTGAAGAGATTCGACGGCGGATTCCTCTTGACCAGCTGTCGCTTGGCTTTACTGGAAGATTCATGCTGACGTTGTTTCCGAGGCAATCTCCTTCGATTCCAGTGAACACGTGCTGAGCTTAGGTCCGTCATATGACGAAATGAGATGTATTCACCCTATTTCGTCTAAGGTGATGAAGGATTGGTAGTAGAATTTTCCCACAATGATATGAATTGAGCTGACGTTTTCCATTCAATTTCACATAGCCTTGCTTTCCCAAAAGTTGTTCTCATCCACACAGAAGTGGACTGCAGTTTTGACCTCGCATCGGTCTTATCAACACCCTCAGCGGGATTCGAACCGCGACAATGCAGGACGGTTGCTTGACATGCTAACCACTCGGCTACACTGCCACGAGTACCCTTGAGTCACAGGGCATAAGTCGATGGTTGCCACTCCTGATACCATCTGACTGTCGACTAGGCCGTCGCTAGGCAAACGAGGAGGCGCGATGCGTCCTGGTAACTGTCGGATGACCAGAAGTAGTGGTCGGCCAGACGATGCGATGCTGACGCTCTCGAATGGGCTATTGAGAGTGAGTGTAAAGTCCGTATGTTCGTTCGAAGCCCGTTTTCCGGACGCGACTCCCAGAATGGCCCTCGCATGTCTTGAGGCAGCAGATGCGCCACGACGTCAATTCGAGCCTCACAACCCCAGACCGACCGACAGGCCCGAAGACGCAATACACCTTTACGAGGCGGCAGGTAATAGTAGAGGTTGCGCACTTCGAGCTTTGGGCGTCGGGACGGCTTTTTGACGCAATCGGGGGTCAACATGTCGAGATTATACTCTGCACTTTCATGGTTCGAGTCCCGCTGCAGGTGCGGACGAGACCGATTCAGGCGAGGTCGAAACCGCTGTTCACTCCGGCTGGGAGGAAAATACCTCTTGAAATTCAACTACCAATCCTCTTATCATCTTAAGCGGAGTAGGGTGAATACACACACACACACACACACAAACACACACATATATATATATTTATATATATTGATAGTCGCTGAAGCCTACTTATAAATTAGGAGCACGAGACGGCGGCAGCATGTAAGAAGACCATTAACTATGCATGGCATCGTCAGGTCAAGGTATCTCGGTTTGCCGGAGTAGGCTCCACTTCTCCATGCTGCCTGTACCTCGCACACTGCGTGTGTGCGTATGCATGTGCATCTATGCCTGGGAGTGTAGAATTCTGGCCAGAACAGAGGCTGAGTTGGGGCTCAGCAGGAATAAATTTTTCCCAATCTTCAAACAAGAGGCAGGCTTGTATACATGACATAAGGGAGCACCAAATTAGGGAGGTCCGAAACTATGGCAAGATATTAATTAAGAATCCGAGCCCGTCTGTGGTGGTGAAATGAATAAGAATTTACCTGATGAACCTCATACTTCGAGGTCAACCCGGCTCAAATTCCACTGGGGCCAGGGCGAAAGTGACTTTTGTGAAGTCAGAGCTGGGAAAAATTTAATGGCATCCCGAGGCCTTCTACTTGGTTCGAGCATAACCCTTGTGTGGCTGACATCTTCAGAGGCAAAAGCCACCAGTGTCGAAATGCCACCATAATTTTTAGAAGCAACAAACGGAAATCAAAAGTCATAACCGCAAGGCCCTCCTCCTTCGTTTTACTAAACCCTTCATTAAATAAGCGGTTTTTCCTGATTATGTTGGGTAGTCTACTACTATAATAACATAAGTAGTATGGACCATATAGTGATGAAAAAGCTTCTGATATATTCTAACGACTAGTCGAATGTTAAAATTTCACACAATAAGTTAATGGCACTCAGAAAGTTCAGATGGAACTTAGGAAGTTGGTACGTAATGACGTGGCTGTGGTATATGACATACCGCATGAT